AAAAAATGGATAGGCTTTGCAGTCAGCTAACTTTGGCTTTGTTGGGAGAAATGAGTTCCTGAGACAAGGACCACACAGTGAAAGTGCTCTGTCTCCATCCCTTAATGGTTTAAATCATGAAGCTTTAGATAATAGCAGCAGCAACAATAATCAATCACCTCTGCTAATTTCAGCTCTAGGGAAGGGACATGAGGAAAGAGGCAATCTCCAAGGTAGCCAGGATTTATAGTAAATGACGTAGAGCAGTATAGATCAAATTAGCACCTTGAATTAGACTGGTAAACACTCTGGGATCCAGTGCAGATGGAACACTGCTGTAATATGCTCCATGTGAAAACCACCGCTAAACAAGTTGGAAGCCACTTTCTACTTATGTTAATAGACGTTTTATGTCACAGTAAACTAATCTGGAGGTGACAAAATTAGGAAGGGGTCAGTGCCCAAAGGAAAAGTCCCAACCTCCTTTAATAATGAACATGAATAAAAACCATATTGGATACTACTGCTCTTCGAATGTCCAAAGTAGGTAGTAGTTAGTGGGCCCTGAGACTGAACTTGTTAACAAAAGGTAAATGCCCCGTCAACTGAGAAAGTAGGTATCTACCTATTGTATCTTCCTGGTATTTGCCCCAGACAACCAGCATAACCTCCCATATTGCAAGGATTCAGTTTCAGCAGCTAGCCCTTATCTGAACAATTTTACCACAGCAGCATTATGTACACACTGAAAGGAACGTGGATAGTACAGGACCCCAGTGTATCTCATATGAGAAAGTCCTGAGGCAGAATTACCCCAAACTAAGACTTGGACCCTCTCAGAGAAAGAAAGAATGGAGCAACTTGCATTGTTCCATCCATACCTGTCAGGGTGCAGTGGTGGAAGTATAAGACGCTTCAGGTCATTTCTGAATACAGCCCAAGTTGTTGGTGTTGATTGAGAAATAAATCTTAGAGAGTTTAGGTCCTACCTACCTTATATGCCACCTCTTTTTCTAACCCATCACAATGGTTGACAGCAACTTTTCAGAATTTCGTACAACATTTTTATAGTTACGATGTAATCTGAAGGGTGTATTTCATGGATCTCAAGTCATGGCTGGGAAATATAAATGCTAAAAATAAGAATAACTTATTGGGTGGGGAGTGTGAAATCAAAGATAGAATGAGAAGAAAGAAATTTTAAAAATACATAACATATAAAGGGTAAGCTAAATAAGCTATTTTCCCCCTGAATAAGTGATGATTAGATAACTTCCATATTTGTTCAGGATAACTGAAACAAAGAACAATGTGAAAAAATGATAGATCTTATATTACATCTGATGCCATTACATACTTTTGTGTTCAACCTGTTTTAACTACATTAGTGAACACTGTGGGCCAGCAGATGACGTAGCAATAGGTTCACAGATACCATCAATATACGCAGAAATAGATATACAGTACTCGGAACACATCACAGCATCATGCATGCAAATAACAATACCACAGTGTCAATCAAACCCACAAAATGGAAAAGGTGAGTTGTAAAAGTGAAAGTATTTTTGCATGTTCTCACAGGACTAACCCCAAAAAATATAAATCACACAGGAAATGGAAAAGGGCAGCAAACTGTCCTTTTGGTAAATACCATGCCATCAGACAGATCGCAAAAAAAAAGGCTCACAGTTTACAGAAAAGATTAAAATAAATCAATACTTATAAATGACCTGCATATCCTGGTACTAGAAAAACTATCTATAACACGGAACTCAGTGGACTGCACAACAACACTGATCTACAGAGGAATTACTTAAATGAGATCAAGAGATTTGAACAATTTAACACTTACTGAATACAAATGGATAACCAAATGACAACTGGAAAAAATTACATGGAATGCTATGAAAGCTAAAATATAGAAAGCGCTAAACAGAAGAAATGATGAGCATAAATAAATATCTATATTTTTCAGACTATAAGTGATCGCTAAAATGGACACTACTATGAAAAAAGAACTTGCACATAAATTTGAGAAAACCTAAGGAAAATAATCACCATTGACCTTTGTGTCTACTCCATTCCTGTGGGCACTACTGTGATACCGACAATTATTGGGAAGATCAAGAACTACATATCAAGAATCAAATAGGAGTGGCAAATCATAATTAATTAAAACAGGCTATCACCAATGACCAGAAAGGCTGCCAAATCTAAAATTAGAGAAAACAAATCAAAGACAAGTCAAACCAGCCCTATATGCTTTGACTAACAAACAGGACCCATTTAAATAGCAAACTCCAACGCTGTCAGTCTAAAATTTGGCAGAGTTGCAGCTTCCTTGAGACCTTGCATCACAAGGAAATCACGAAGTCTTACCATAATGCTTGTGTCAACTTTTTCAGATTTATTCCACCTGTGTCCATTTTTGAAAACTTAAGAACCTTCATTTTATGTTGGAAGAACACATTTGAGCATTGCCTGCATGGCACAGGTTTCAGGACCTCAGCAGAGTAAATACAAAATAACAGCTGGGACTTTGTAGCATGTCCCACTGATTCACCACACTTACCAACTAATGGCATAGTACACTCACCCTACAGAATGGCTAACCACAATGAGGACATCTAAGGAAGCATATAATTTTGGAAAATCAAGTAGAATCACAACAAATAAATAAGGAACAGAACCCCTACCTCGAATGTGCCACCACAATGTGTAAGAAGGCGACAAACAGAACTATATATAGTAACGAGACAACACCGCTAGCTAAATACAGCCCATTCTTCTCTAGTACTTCAACTAGCAACCTTGGAACATCACTGAATCACAACAACCCTCTCCCCTCTGCTACTCAATCTAAGATCAATACACTCCATCATCATTAAAAGGAGCTCAAAATAGCATATTAATAGTCCAACCTTCTAGAATGGAAACATGCGGGGGTGCGGGGGGGGAGGGCTTCAATCTAGACACTGCGGACTTCAGAAAGCTCAAGGTAAAAACATCACAGGAATGTACAGAAGAAAAGAAAAAGCTATGCAGTACTAAACGTAAGACTAGTCTGGGCACACTACCATACAGTATGTTTACTATGTATATACATGTGCATGGATGCAGAAATGGTTGCCTATTTGCTCACAGAGATTGAGGATGCCAAGTCAAAATGCAGAGAGAGTACTCCAGCTGGTACACCTTCCCCACGCCAGAAGAAGCAGTGCTCCCACAACACTGACTATTTGGCTGCTGCTAAAGGCAGCTGATGTTCTGCCTGGTCCTGTGGTTACAAAGGCTCTGTTTCTGTACCCCTGGAAAAAGGCACAGATGCTGGGTTAGGAGAAGAAACTGAATAGTGTATCACTGTTGGCATTGTTGGCGAAAAGGCTGAGGTGGAGGCGTGCAGAGCCTTGAAGGCAAAAATGAGAGATTAAAATGAATGCGGTGTACAATGGGAAGCCAGGAGAAGGACTCAGAGAGGGGATGACAGACTGGTGAGCAGGGGAGAGAATATTAGGGACTGCATTTTGCAGGTATTGGAGATGATGACTCAGATATAAGTCAGGCTAAAGAGAAGGAGGTTGTGATAATCAAAATTGGATAAGAAGAGTTATGAACATTTTAGTTTCAGGACAGAGGAAGTTTCTGATTTTCTATACATTCTGGAGGAAGTAGCAGCAAGATTTAGATACCGCCTGGATATGTGGGAAGAATAATAGTAAGGGGCTAAAGTTACACCTCTACCTCGATATAACGCTGTCCTCGGGAGCCAAAAAATCTTACCGGGTTATAGGTGAAACCGCGTTATATTGAACTTGCTTTGATCCACCGGAGTGCGCAGCGCCGCCCCCCCCGGAGAACTGTTTTACCGTGTTATATCCAAATTCGTATTATATCGGGTCGTGTTTTATCGAGGTAGAGGTGTACTTTCCAGACTGTGAGCCTGGAGGATGGTGGCAGTAACTTCAGTGGAGGATAGGGAAAGTGAAGAGGATTTAGGAAGGAAAAAAACCAACAGTTTGGTTTTAGCTTTACTAAGGGTGAGTTGTAGATGAGCCATACAGAAACAAACACTGGAGATCCATACTGAAATCAAGGACTGGGCAGGAGGAAAACAGATCAGCTGTGGAGAAGTTGATTTGTCAGTAGTGAGCATAAAGGTAATAGTTGAATCCAGGTTGGTTGAGGAGGCTGTCCAGGGATAAAGAATGGAGCAAGATAAGAATCAAGGAGAGAGCCCTCTGCAGTCCCATGAAAAGGGGAAGAGGATGATAAGCAAGTGAGGTCTATGCCATGAAAGCCAAAGTAGAACAGGATTTCAAGGAGAAGTGAAAAGTACTCAGATCTGCTAATCTATAATACGGCAGTTGCAGTAAACAGGCTGCACAGTACTGAAATTTGAAAAAGAATGATTTCTACAGGTGTTGTTTCTTTGCTAATTATTTTCAAAGTTCATGCAAACTACTGTACAATTCCCCTGTCTTTATCAAACTCTAAGTGGTATAAAATTTTTCAACTCAGTTTTTTTCAATTTATTTAAAACAATTTCACCTACAGATATCTATATTTTAATATTTCACATTCAGGCAGCTAAGCCTTCTCTTTAAGTAAACTATAAAAGTGCATCTCCTGCTAATTACAGCAGGCTTCCAGTCCAAAATGCCTCAGTCGAAGATTATCATTGTGAATATATGCACCAAAAAAGAGCACCTGAATATTAACAAAGTAACGTGTGAAATTAACTACAAAATACAAGATAAATCAGATTTTTAGCAAAGACAGAAGCTGGCACATAGTGAATGTAAATCAGTATCACAGCCACACTCAGCATCATCACGTTAATGAATTGAAGGGAAACTTTTTTTCTTCTGAACAACAGTGCCACTCAGTGGATGGACAAGGACAGTGAGTTAATAAGCACTGGAAATGGAAACATCACAGATGAAATCAGTGGGGGGTTCCTTGACAGACCAATGATAATGCTGCAGGCAAAGAGATACTATGAGTTGCCATAGCAACTGTACCTTGGAGGGCTGTTAGATTCTGAGCAGGAACAGACATCTGTGCTTCGCTGCCTGTAACTACATCTCCTAGTAAATAAATAAAAACATCTTAGGATTTTTACAAGAACAAATACAATTTATTGAAATAAAGTCTTTTAACCTGTAGTTCATTGAACGATGGTGACACTAACTCCACACAAGAAACATGAACCAAGCAAAAACAGTACCTGAAAAACGTATAATAGAGTTGGCAAAAATTAATGGGCTGTTTGGCAAAGAAAAGTGTGTTTTTTTTTAAATAAAGCAGGTATGCTGGAAAAAAAACCCAATGTGTAAAGAGATTTTTTTATTGACATAAAGATGTGAACAAATTTGCACAACTAAACATGATTTGCTTCTGGCTCTTCACAATGATAGTACAACTCTGATACTAATGCACAAAATAGTATCAGAGAGTTGTGCTATTATTGTGAAGTGCTAGAAGCAAAATATGTTTAGTTGTGGCAATTTGTTTTAGGGCGCTGCTAAACTCACACCTTTATGTTGCTGATTTTAATATGCGTTGTCTTAATCGCGTATGAAATTGTGTTGTCAGTAATGCAGTACTAAAATCAACAAAAAAGTAACAGATTTGTTAGTCTGCAGTTTATTCTATTCATTACAATGTAGCTCTGCTTTGAGTAAGCACAGCTGCTCCCTTTTGCCCCAGAAACAACAAACTTGTTTTCCAGACATAATCAGCAGGGAGTTAAAATATATAGTTAATTCAAATACACTGTGTTGAGTGGCATGTCATAATGTTATATTGATTACAAAGATCTTGTGTTACTACAACTACTTCAGTAGTATATGTAAATATGCAAAATAAATAGTAGTCTGGACACTCCAATAGCAGAACATAATTTTGGTGGCATTTCATTTTCATATTGGTCATTTAATATGTGCTTGTGATAAAGTGGCATTCAAATCAAAAGCCTTTGTGAGTCAAGGACCCCAAAGGAAAACTAAATCTTGTAGTGTAGTTTAAATGATACAAAAATTAGGTACAGTCAATATCACAGAGACTAACTGAAGGAGAAACTCTTTTCTTCTATGAAAACATCACCAGTTGGTAATTAAAGATTAAGGCTAGGTCTACAGTAGGGGGGGGATCGATTTAAGATACGCAAATTCAGCTACGCGAATAGCGTAGCTGAATTCGACGTATCTGATCCGACTTACCCTGCTGTGAGGACGGCGGCAAATCGACCGCCGCGGCTCCCCCGTCGACGGCGTTTACTCCTACCTGGGCTGGTGGAGTACGCGCGTCGATTCAGGGATCGATTGTCGCGTCCCGACGAGACGCGATAATTCGATCCCCGAGAAATCGATTTCTACCCGCCGATCCAGGCGGGTAGTGAAGACAAGCCCTAAGTGGCTTCTGAAAAAACAAGAAATCCTGTGACACACAAAGGGAAACAACTTAGCCAGTTTTTTTTCCAGAGACATTTTCACCATCACATTTATTTTCCTTTTAGGATAACAAGCTCTACATACAGTACACTGAACTCAAGCTTTAAATTTAACCTCAGTGTCAATGAAGTGCTTCCTTCAGTAGGAACAGGACAATATTTTAATTCTTATGCTGTTGGCACGCTATCTTGCACAAGAAAGCAGTACTGATGCCCAATCTTTTTCTGTAATATAGGGTAGGCTGAGTAAGTTTAATTTAATATTAGCAGAATTTGATTTTTCAATTGGGTGGCACCCTCAGTGGCTTGGTACTCAGTTCAACTATTATTTGTAACATTACAGACTAATCTGGAATTTGCAGATTTATAATTGTATTCTTTTAGATCAGTCTACAGTTCTCCATTTACCTTATTTTATTGCATAGGCATTATCCTAACAAGAATTCAGCACATTACAAAAACTTTAAAATGAAGAAAGAACACCAATTATTGATCTTTTAAAAATCAGCTACTGATAAAAAAATAAGCTCCCCTCATTATAAATTTAGTGTGAGCAACTTTAAAGGTGGAAGAAGTAGTTACTTACCACCTTGGGCAGTAACGATGGTTCTTCGAGTAGTGTCCCTATGAGTGCTCCGCTGTAGGTGTGTCTGCATCCCTGTGCTGCTGATTGAAGAACTTCAGTAGCAGTGTCCATTAGGCCCACACGTGTGCTGTCTCTCCTTGTGCTGGGCCACAAGGCTACCCAGCGCACGCGGGCTAACCGTCCTCAGTTCCTTCTCTACCACAGAGTAATAGCGAGAACTCTGAAGCAGAGAGGAGGAGGGCGGGTTGTGGAACACCCATAGGAACACACATCTCGAAGCACCATCATTACTACACAAGGTAACCTTCTTCTTCTTTGAGTAGTGTCCCTAAGGGTGCTCCACTGTAGGTGACTCCTGAGCAGTATCCTCTTGCAGGGCTGGGACTTTGGAGTAGAGTTAGTACTGTGAAGCCAAAGATGGCATCAGAGGCAGAGTCCCCGGTGTTCTGCGAAGGTGTGGAATGACACATCGCCGCTCTGCAGATCTCTGCTAAAAAGTCTCTTTTGCCCCAGTGTGTAGATTCCCAGTGCCCTGGAGAGTGGTCCTGGAATCCTTCAAGGTATGGAGAGAGGCATTGGTCTTCTCAGCAAAGAGCTTCATCCCCTCAAAAGAGAGGTCGTCCACTGTGATCTGCATCTCCTTTGGGAATCCCGAGAGGTGGAGCCATGGGGCCCATCTCATCATCGTATCTGTGGAGATGATCTTGGCAGCCAGGTGGGCGGGGTCAAGGGACGATTGAAAAGTTGTTCTTCTTGGATGATGGCATTGAAGGAATCCTGGAAGCTCTCCGACAGCTTATCAATAAAGTCGTGTAATTTATGTACTCATACTTTGCTAAGAGAGCCTGGTAGTTGGCAATTCGAAACTGTAAGGTAGCTGAGGAATACACCTTCCTACCAAAGAGATCAAGGTGTTTCCAGTCTTTGTCATAGGGTGTTGTCCTGGAGTCGTGCTGTCGGCCACAAGATTTCAGAGTCCACCACGATGGAATTGGGTGGTGGGTGAGTGAACAGGAACTCTGATTCCTTTGTGGGGACATAATATTTTTGTCTGCCCGCTTGCATGTTGGGGTCACCAAGGCTGGGGTTTGCCCCACCATCTTAGCTCAGTCTAGGATGGCCTCATTGATTGGGAGGGCAATTTTGGAGGTAGATGAGGACTAGAGGATATCAATAAGCTGGTGGTGTGCATCTTTAACCTCCTCCAATAGTATGCAGAGGACGTCCGCCACTCTCTTCGCCAGATCTAAGAACAAGCAGAAGTCATCTGCCATGGAAGGTGGCAATGGCATGACTGCTTTGTCCGGCGAAGAGGAGGATATGGCCTTGGGTGTGACCTCCTCCTCTGTCCACCTCTTGATCCTCCACTTCTTGGGGTTCCGAGGCCTGTGATGCTGTAGCTGAGGGGGCATGCCTCAGAAGCTCTCAGGTGATACTCGGTGCCCATGAGGCAGGCTGTTGGTGCGCTGCCCAGGGGTCCCAGTAATGACTACTAGGGTGGCATAGGGCCTGGTGGACGTGCCCATGGGTGACCATACCAAGATGGCGATGGTGCTGTCTGGTGATACAATCTCAGACCCTGTTAATATTGGGCCCTATATGGAGCTTGGGAGGAGTACAGAGAAACCCTGTCCGACTTACTGACCGATCCCTAACTCGATATCGGAGGGGCATGACATGACTGTGGGAGAATACTCCTTGGTAGGCCATGGCTCGGTGCCATGAGCTCGGTACCAAGGGGCGAAGAGCCAGGAGCTTCGAACATAGCCAGGTCACCGGCCTGATGGAATTCTGCCTTTACCAAGCATCCGGGTGTTGGTGGTGGTGCCAGGGGAGATGGAGACCTCACCCATACTGATCTCTCTGGTGCTGGATGGGCCGATGCCACCACTGGTACAGACGACAGCTCGTGTACCAGGAGCGTCTTAGGGGGTTTGCCATTGTCTCTCTGTACCAAAGATTCGATACCCATGTCCAAAGGGTCTGTGGGCCTATCAGCAGCACCGGACACTGACGGTTGCCGTGAGGCACGGGTGCCGGATGATCCTTGTGCTGGCAGTGCCGAGGATACCGAGTGAGAGGGTGATCACTTTTGGCTACCCCGGAGCTTGCTGAGGGGATTTCCTGCTTTCTTTTTTGACTTGGGAGAGGAGTCCCCGAACTGTTTCTTTGACCCACTATCCTTTGAAGTCGAAGGTTGAGGGGAAGACTCATGCCTTCTGGAGGGCTGGGGTCAGAGAGCCGTCTCCATAAAGATGATTTTCTGGTGGAGCTCTCTGTCCTTGCAAAATCTCAGTCAGAGCTGCTGGCAGAGGGAACTCTTTTGTTGGATGTGGCCCTTGCTGAGGCAGTGAATGCACTGAGAGTGCTTGCCCGTGACTGGGATTGCCTCACTGCAAGTGCGACACTTCCTGAAGCCTGAAGAGCCAGGCATACCCTTGTCCAGGGGTGCCCCTGACACCGGGGGTCGACACAAGAACCAAGTCTTTTCTTCTTCTTGTTGGGTTGTTTTTTTCTTTTGGGTATGGACAAATAAAAGTCAAAGGTTAAAGGGTTTCTAAAAGCTAAAGATTAACAACTGAAAAGGAGAGTTAACGATCCGCTAAGGGACAGCTAAAGGCTGTCTCTAGCCAGGGGCAGTTGAGAAGGAACCGAGGATGGTTAGCCCGTGCGCGCTGCCTAGCCTCATGGTGCAGCACGAGGAGAGACAGCGCATGTGTGGGCCCAACGGATACTGCTGCTGAAGTTCTCCAATCAGCAGCGCAGGGATGCAGACACACCTACAGTGGAGCCTCATAGGGACACTACTCGAAGAAGCAGCAACAGGCACAACAACACTTTTGTAGCTGCTGCCACAGCTAGTTGGTGACTGTTCAAGCAGGGCGTGCTAATCTAGAAGAGCTATGCCATTCAGGACAGACGTTGGCTTTATTTTGTCAGGTAGGCAATACATTTTCCAACCGACCACTCCCTCACCCTTGGCCCAAGAAAACAGTAAGCAATCTGTCTTGTCCACCATGGTTACAACCCGCTATACATTAACGTAAATGAACAACATAACTTCAGCTTTTCAAAACAACTAGGATAATCATGATCTCTGAAAACCAGGAATGCCTCTTTTACAGGGTCTGCACTGATCAGATTTACAGAATACAGTGCTTTGTTTTTGTAAAGAACAGAATACTGTCACCTCAAGGAGCTGTCAGCCAGCTGAGCTGGTGAAACTGCCAGCAGAATAGGTGAGCACATATGTACCTGAGGGACCACTCCTGGATCTGTTTTTATGGTCTATCTAAAGCCTCCCCCTTAGCAGCCATCTATAGTCAGTTCTCCCCACATGTCAGAACCATGTACAGCATGAGACTGTAGGCACTACTTGAAGTGCTGGTGTCTGTTGGACTTTGGGCTGGTATCCATGTTTCTAGTCATCTCAATTGGATCATGAGAGAGCACCAGATAGTGGAAGTGTATTGAGAGCATTAGGGAATAAAAGGAAGAAAGTTGTGGGTGGGCGAGGGTGAAAACAAAGACAACCTCCAATCCTGCAAATGCTTATACATGGCTTAACTTTATGCACTTGAATAGTCCCCCTGACTTCAAGGGGCCCATTCATGTACTTAAACATGTGCACAAGTGTTTGTTGAATGAGAGCCTAAGAGCAAATGCGACAGAGAGAAAGAATGTGTGTGGCAGAAGGAAACTGAGGAGATACACAGTGGTAAGAACTGAGGACGAAAAAGGCAGATGGTTGAAGCAAGGGGAAGAAGGCACATCCACACCTTAGCTACCAGACCCATTTATGCACACCTCCCCGATCTCCAGTAATCCCCTATAAAATCCCCAGGGTATCCTGAGTTTATACCACAATAAACTGTAAGTAAGCTATTTTTATTTTTTAAAAATAAGTATGGTCTCAAACTATTACGTTTTTTAAATATTAGCAACATCTCAAAGTCTTTGCTTTGTTTACATGAGTGGAGAAAGATCTAAGGTGAAAAGGTGGAAGGTACCCAAGGCAAACCTTCCCATTACCCCTTTCTTTCACAATGCTAATATCTGCAAAATGATCATTACAAAAAGACAGTGATGTGTCTGCGTACAGCAATGTCTCTAGGCAGATAAGGAATCTGCGTTCATCAGCTGCTACATATATATGAATTTACTTTCTCTTTGACCATGGTAGTAAGATTTGACACCCCTTTAGAGACATGACTTAACATTTCTATTGCCATTTGGGCTTGGTTTCTTAAAAAACTAAATCACAGCTCTTTCAGACTCATTTGTTTGCCATAATTTAGAATTACCAATCAACTGTAGCTTATCAAAGGAAAATTGAAATAATATCTATTTAGAAAAACAAACAGTACAGTCAACTAATATAGAAAACAGCAACCGTTACCATTCTCACTACATATACAAAAAATTTAGACATAGTTAATGATTTCAAGTCTTGTTGGTCTTTAAATCACATCTAATGGTGCTATATTAAACAATAATGAGAAATCTCAAATCAGTGTAAACCAGTGACAGACTACTGGACTAAAGAAAAATACCAATTACAGATACAAAAAGATGCTTATTACCCTTCATTATACTGAAATGGAATAGTCTTTAACATAATGCATGGATGCTGTACATTACTGAAGCATAACTGAAGGATTTTTCCAACTATGAAGTTCCCTGTGCCCAGACTGGTTCTGGATCTCTAACTTGCATCACTACTATTATTTGTCAATAATGGTACAGCATGTAAATCCCTGTACTGCTACTTGTGCAGGAAGTTGTAAATAATCATTATATGGTAACTTTTGTAATAACTGTAGCATGATTACAAATCTCTCTGCTCTGACTGACCCCTACAAATCTCTGTTCTGACTGGTTACTGTATTTAGAGGGTGATTTTACAACATGATGGCTAACATGTGACAGGTAGGATGTTGTAAAATCCTAGTGTAGACAGGGCAACCCTTGGGTTCACCTAAATCTAGATAGAACTACAACTTGCTCTGTCTAGGCTAGGATTTCACAATGTGTCAGCTGTCATGATGTAGAAACTCACCTTTTTCCTAGTGTAGACATACCCAGTGTTCTCAGCTCGTTCACTCCTTTTATCTGAAGCAGACGACCTCCAAAATTTACAAGGAACTCACTTTATTACCACCCTGCCCCACAAAAAATGGGGACAAAGAAAACGGGGCTGTGAAATTGCTGAAAGGGGAACATTATTTTTAAAAAGATCAAAAATCATTGGAGTTGTTTCTCTTCAGGCCCCAATCTGCTTCCACTGAAGTGACTAGGAGTTTTATCAACGATTCAATAGGCGCCCAATTGGGACGTCTGACATTTCTACTGTGAGTCAGGTGGGGCCCTGCTTCAACTGAGAGCCATTAAGGAATTAATTGGTTTCCAGTTTCTCCTTCAGCCCACGTACAACTACCACTATGCAAGGAACTTCACTTTTACAGATTGCAGAGCCCTGCTGGGGCAGTTTCTGCAGTACCCCAAGTCTGAGTTGGGGTTCCTAAGGAACTACTTAGCTGAACTTCAGCCAGGCACCTAGAAACGTGCTTCAAATTACTCTATACATGTGTAGTAAAAGGAGGGCTACTGTGACTGTCCTTTTGGGTTCTGCTCAACCAATAGCCACATGATGCCTGATAAGAAGCTACAGTTGGTCCACCAGGACCCTTGATATGGCAGGTAAGGAGGAGGAGGAAATTTGGGTCATAGATGTGCAAAGTATTATTTTTGTATTATTATTTTCCTCCCCATATATTTTCAGCTCTGACCAAAAAGCAACTTCCTACTGCGTGCTTACTGTGGGGCTCAGGAGAACCAACGTCAGCCTTCAAGCTCATAATCCACTAGAAGATGCTTGGAGGTAGACAGAAATGAATACACAGAGTCTACATACTCTTCCCTTATAAAGAGCAACGTTATCTCCTTGGCGGTCATTAGCCCAAGAAGCAGAAGTCTGTCTCCTGTACAGTGCACTGTACTGTGGTTGAGGTTTAGATCACCCACTATTTATTTTGTTGACTGTAAAAAAAAAATTGAATTGAGAAATGTAAGGAAATAAAATCATTTTAAGCCTCAAGAAAAAAGTCAGTATTTCTTAAAAGGAGTAGGGTCTCCCTCCAGGTGTAATGCCAATTGTCAAAAGCAAATCTGTTTAATGCTATTAACTGTAATCAAAATCAGACACCAGCATTCTGAAAGGAATGAGATATGGATCGATTACAGAACATTTTACAGTGACATTATGTTCCTTCATTAGTACTCAGCTACACAAGAGCTTTATGTCTGATAGCCAGCCAGTCAACAATGAGGAAAGCTATACAGCCCAAAATGTAATATTAGCCATTGAAGAGAGAAGAAAATAACATCTAGAGGGACAGCTAAGATTTAGTGTTGGGTTGTTTTATCCACTATTTCCTCCATAAACATTTTTTGTTCATTTTAAAAGATGGAAAAATCCTATTTGTATGTTCTCTACAGTCACAATTTCTAAACTGAATCTCATTAAGGTGCAAACATACCACAGTACATAGAAAATGTGTCTAAGTTTATCAGCAAGTGGACTATTTCAGTTACAGCAACGTTAATCTATAGAAATACTAGATAAAAATCAATATAAAAAATGTCTTCCTCTTGGGCTAATTTTTGACTGCAAGCTTCCTTTTGAGATTTGTGGAATTCCACGCCACACCTGGAGTCTTTTCTTATGTCTCATTTTTACCTTTGCTCAGCTGAACTGGCATGCTTTCCGATTTCAACATTCTCTGCTGCTGCTGCTGCGCCTGCAGGTGTTGGTGCTGGAGGGGCTCCACGGTGCTCCTGATGGGCATTACAGCAGAAGGAAAGCTGCTGCTGCTAGCACTAATAGCTGGGCCTGCAGGACTACCTGAAGCCATAGCTGGGGCAATCAGCTTTCGACCGAAATTAAGCAAGCTATTGGAGACTTTATTAATGTTCAGTGGAGCAACCTTTGCACTGGCACTGAAAAATAAAATGGAAATGAAAATATCACGATCATTAGTAATTTATAGAGCATTACAAATATATGCAGCGTTTGACGAAGAGTGGAAAAAATCTTCTAAGGCACAAGGACATTACACATATACAATTTTACATGCACACATGAATTTGTGCATAAATCCCAATACAGTGTCAACAGGGGGCAAATGCTGAGAATGTTGCAAAGCGGGTGATCATGATGGAGTTTAATATAACTGAAAGCTTTTTACTGAAAAGAGTATTTATACTTTGTTGTATTCCCACCCATACTGAATGCTGTAATACGCTGACAAAAGCACTACTGCTACATTATGGAGCGAGGATAGTTTGTGCATTTTTATGGCATCCACTGACTCTTAGTAAAACCAGGCCACATATAAACTGTGGTACAAACAATGTTTTTTTCGGAATGGCGCTTCGAAAAAGTTAGACTACTGTATGGCATATGTATTACTATTCTGATTATTCTGTGTTATTCTTTTGCTCCTCCATTTGTGTTATGCAGTGTGCTCTCATTCTCGCTAATCCAGCTAAGCATTACTTCAGTTAAAGAATATGGCATCAACAGCTTTGGGCTTGATCATTCTACCTCATGAGCTGCCCAGGAAAGAATACTGTAATAATGAAGTGGCGAGCTCTGTATTCCCTCTTTCTGTGAGTGAAGGAATGTTATCCCACGGTCCTTGTAAATGCAAACAAAGAAAGCCACCATATTGCCAGCCAGTTTTTCCACACAGTTTGAGAATTGCTGTTTTACCTATTTGAGGAAAACTTCACCCCAAGTATGAATGGGAAATTAAAATGCTCCATTCAATGAAAACATTAGATTTTGGCAAATGCTGTGCAATTTGAACTTATTCTAAGAAGCTACAATTCATGGAAATTAAGGTATAGTCCTTCAGAACATATTGACAATTGACATTCATTTTCTTTTGCTCCCACCTCATATTAAACTCAACTTGGTTATTTGAGGTGTATACGAGGCTAAGTATTTGCCACAGAGGATCCGGTCTGAATAATGATTTTAGGATTGGATCTATATACCATAATGTAATCCTTATTATTGTTCTCTTTTGTTTTTAACTATAGTGGCTGTTTTTAATGCACTTAAGTTATCTGCATCATTAAGAACAAGGAAATTTGTTCAGGGCACACACTGGTGGCTAAGTGCATTGAGAGCATTAAGGCTCGGTGCATGAGTCTTGACTCTGATATATTTGGTACACTTTCTGACTTCAGTGCTCTGAGTGCATTTAGTACTGAGACCAGGCGTTAGACTAGACATCCTCATCAACTTGAAGCAATTATTTGTATTATCATCATACCTAGGAGCCCTAGTCATGAACCAGGACCCCACAGTTCTACCGGCTATACAATGTCTTGGAAGGAGAATGACAGGTTACAGTACATCCTGGAATCATGGATACGACTTATCTCTGCTGACTACCAGGCCTTGAATTTCTGAAGATCTTGACTGATCACGTACAGTAATTGAATTGGCAGAGACCATAAGTGCTAGTAGGGAAGTGAAGCCTTGCTCTCTGGTAGGCTGTGAAAGCAACAAAGGCATTGATGCTTTGACATAGCCAGTTAACACCAGAACATGAAAATTAGATGGTGACGCAGGAGAAATATTAATTTACAATTTTCGGGAGGAGTAGGAGAGGGACAGGTTGAATGTGCCTTTAACTTACCAAAAAAATCCCCCAAAAAACAAAAAAACCACCCAACTCAGACCCAAAGGTCTGCAATGTTGTTGGAGGACTTTTTTTTTTTTTTTTTTAATCATAACTGTAAAAGGCTGTTACATATCATCTGAGAATTAGATGAGAATTGGTTATTCAGCTTCAAACATTTGCCAGGATTCAGGTCTCTTATGAGCTGACCTTGCATTGGCAATGATCACCTCAGGACACGAACACAAGAAGCCAAACAATGATTTTGGTACTTTAATGGCTTGCCACGAAAAGCTGATGCTATTTTTTTCCCTCAGACCCCTAAGTAGAGTTATGCGGTGTTTTCCTCAAGTTGCAGTTTCAGGAAACACGAGCAATGACAGGGCATTAGGTCTGCAGGACGAGATGCTCTGACTCCAGATTGAAGTTCAGAAGAATAAGGGCAATATATCTATTTCCTACCACCTGAAGTAGTATATTAAGGTTATATACGAGTGCAAAGGATGATTGAAGCCATTAAACATGGATCAGTGGATGCACTTGAGCCATCAAAATGTATCAAACATGCACGACAATTACAAGAAAAATGAGGATTGATTATATTATAGAGTTATCAGCAGATGCATTTAAAAGTAAGACATCAGTTTAAAAACATGAATGTCAAGGAGACGTGAAACCAATCTATGAAGCAAACAATTTTGTTTCATCACAATAAGCATCATTGACCTTGACTATGAATGGTATATTTTTAAACAAGATGATTCAATCTCTTCAGTTTTCTGCTAAGATGAAAATGTTTTGTTTTAAGAAAGCCTTATCTCGTCAGTAAGTAGCCATTAAGAGAGAAAAATCTACATGAATATGACACATTTAAAAGTTTTAAAAGAACAATAAATTAAGCAATATAGTGTAGATTTGTAAAGATATTTTAAATGTATCATAGAATCTCAGAAATTAAAGATAAAAAACCCCAATCCCTAATGATATATTTTCCAGTGCTTTGTTCAGTATATTTTTTAATGAGGCCAACACTTCTTTTGGGAGAGTATATCAAAGTACAATACTATTGAAATGATACGGGCTAAATATTTCTTTGTTGAAATCCATTCCTCCTAGTTATTCCCTCCTTGACCTATGCTAAACAATTCCTCTACCACGTTGGTATTTATCCTCTTCCTTTGCAATGAAGCTATATTCCCACCAGCAGTTTAGTTGTCTTGATTAGTAGTTTTAAACGTCCATCATGTGTCATTCTGGCAACTCCTTAATCATTTTTGCTCTTATCAGTGAACTCTCTCCATTTTATTGACATCGTTGTGATATACTGAGGCACTAGGGTCTGATGCAGAATTCTAGGAGTATTTCACCATTACTATATAGTGGTAAGAGAGTACCTCACTGTATGAAATAAATTATATTTGCCATCAGCATGGTACCAGGGGAATCCTTTGATCATTTTGCCTACAGGCAAGAAAGGTAGGGAGGAGTAGATGGACCCTTCATCTATTCCCCAAATAATTATAAAGTATTTAAACTACACGTAGCAGAAACTGAACCTAATTAAGAGCTGCGCCCAGACCAGTTCCATATGCCATCCACCCACCTTAACAGGTGGAGGAACTTGACGGGGCCAGCAGCGAAGGGGGATAGCCCCAGCAGCAAGGAAAGGAGACTCAATAGGGAAACCAGGTAACTTGTTCCCTGTTGGAGTCTCTGGAACCCACGGGCCAGATGTGGGGCAGGGAGTGCTGCTCATTGGCCAGCATTCCCCAGGTGCCAGGATTTTACCTGGAGCATGGGCCATGCCCTTTTTCAGCTCTATTCAGTCCCACCCGATCATCCCTGAACTTGAAATGGGAAAACAGTTTGGCAAATGCTGCGGGTCTAGCCCATCACCTGCATGGGGGTCAGGAAGGAATTTTTTCTCCAATAGGGACAATTGGCAGAGGTCTGGGGAGTTTTTCACAGCCCTTGAGCACCTTCATGCCACAGTAGATTACGGAGGAATGTGCTTAGTACCCAACTCAGCTATCTGGTGGAGTTAACTTGTCGCAACTTGTGGCCAGTTTCCAGTGCAGTTAAAAGGATAAAAGACCTGGTATTTTGGTGGTGGGCTTTGGGGTCATGGAATAGGGTGAGATCTTGTGGCCCTCATGGGCCGAGTTCAGAGCTTGTGGCCCTCACCAGTCAAGGTCCCCACCCTTCTGCACCCTCTGTCCCTGTTGTGGGGTGAGCAGAGTCCTAGGGGTTAGGCTGAGGACATCCACTCAGAGTTATGGGTTATATGGTAGGAGCCCTGTAACCCCTACATGATGGGCAGGTTTTGGCTCTCCCCTGTGTTTAAACTTAATAAATGTTGTGGCCTGCCAGTTAAAATCCATCCATGTGTCTGTCCTCATCTCGCCGCTGTGTCACAATCAAAGCGCTCTATCCTCCAGTGCCACATGTAATAGTTAGAATTAGGGCTGTCAATTAATCGCAGTTAACTCACATGATTAACTCAAAAAATTAATTGTGATTAATCGCACTTATATCGATAGAATACCAATTGAAATGTATTAAATATTTTTGGATGTTTTTCTACATTTTCAATATTGATTTCAATTACAACACAGAATACAAAGTGCACAGTGCTCGCTTATATTATTATTTTTGATTACAAATATATGCACTCTAAAAATGATGAACAAAAAAAATAGTATTTTTCAGTTCACCTCATACAAGTACTCAAGTGAAATCTCTTTATCGTGAAAGTGTAACTTACAAATGCAGATTTTTTGTTACATAACTGCATTCAAAAACAAAACAATGTAAAACTTTAGAGCCTACAAGTCCACTCAGTCCTACTTCTTATTCTGCCAATCGCTAAGGCAAACAAACTTGTTTACATTTACGGGAGATACTGCTGCCTGCTTACTTACGACATCACCTGAAAGTGAGAACAGGCGTTTGCATGGCACTTTTGTAGTTGGCGTTGCAAAGTATTTACATCATCTGAGTGATTGGCTGACCAAGAAGTAGGACTGAGTGGACTTGTTTGCACTAAAGTTTTCCATTGTTTTATTTTTGAATGCAGTTTTTTTTTTTACATAATTCTACATTTGTAAGTTCAACTTTCATGATAAAGAGATTGCACTACAATACTTGTATGAGGTGAATTGAAAATTTTTTGTTTTTGTTTTTTTACAGTGCAAATATTTGTTATCAAAAATAAATATAAAGTGACTGTACACTTTGTATTCTGTTTTGCAATTGAAATTAATATATTTGAAAATGTAGTAAATATCCAAAAATATTTAAAATAAATGGTATTCTATTGTTATTTAACAGCACGATTTAATCACGATTAATTTTTTTAATCGCTTGACAGCCCTAATTAGAATCCTCTCCTTCCAGGAAGCAAGCTTTGCCAGCAGCTGCAATACTGCTATCATGCAAGTTCCACGATAGCTGCAGGGAGAGCCACTAGTCACATAAGTCCCACAATTATCCTTTAAAATGTTTCTGCAGCATGGCCCATCTGAGACACAGCAGAAAGCAGCTGCAGCACACCACAAGTGTGTGTGTAGGACACAGAATTTCTAAAGATCCTGTATTTTGAAAAAGAGACCAAGGGGCTCTTGAGAAGCAAACTGGTCAAGAAGTCTTGCTGTAGGAGTTAAAAGAGTGCCTGGGTGTTCCACTAAAGAGCAGTACAATGAGAATACCTGAGAGAGAGAGAAAGAGAATATAAGCAGCTGCAGTGGGGCCTCCTAAAACAGTTGTACGAAGAATGCAGACTTGGACGGTAGCAGAAGAGAGGTTGTAGAATCTTCTATAGGACAGCTCAGGTGGAGACTATATTTTGGGGCTTCCCTGTCCACCAGAAAGAAACAAAGTCCCCATGCTACAAGTCAAAATGCAGGAGCAGCAAGAATATGGACCCTACAGATCAAGGAATGAGGCTCAGTTAATACAAAAAGAACACCATGATTCCTGGGGCAGGACATCCTCCTCTGGATAGCCATCTTTCTAAGTTTCTTAACAGGACAAATAACTAGAACATTATGACATAGTACAGTAACGCTGCTAATCACATTGTGATGTAATATCATTGTCTTTTTCACAAATTGTCACTTGATATCATCATAGGGCACAGAGAGAACCTAGAAAAAAGAAGCTTTTTATGTTTCCAGTCTCTCAAAATTTAAAATTCCTTGCACATTGCAAGCTGGCACTGTATTAGATAGGAGAGGTGTGTGAAAAATAGGATGGGTGGCCCTTTTATTTATTTTACAATGATAAGATTAGCACGGGCATGGCAGCACATTCCATAACCACCATTTCAATATCCAAAGTTTGCAACCTATGGGATAGCATCAATTCATTTTAAGCCTGATAAAAAAATACAAATATTAAACCCATCCTGGAATTTTTACATTTGTAGTAGTTTTCTCATACAGTGATTATTCTAATAAAACAGAGCTTTTTGGTCACATAGCACTACAAACATGGGTATTACAAATGCATCTTTGTATTTTAAGGATCAAATTCTGCTATTCCTTACCACGAAAGTAGACCCATTGATTTCAATGAAATAAAACCATAAGTAAGGCAAGCAGGATTTGGCCCTCTATCTTTTGACTGGTGATTGTTTGGAAACTCGGTCACTATACTTAGACTTTAAGTGCTTTGAGGCAGAAACCATCCTTTTGTTATATGATTGTACAGTGCCTAGTGTAATGGAATTTAGATCTCTGGTTTAATCAAGGATGTGTTTTAAAACTGGTTTAGTTGAACTGGTGCAAACCACTGTGTGGACATTCTTCAATCAGTCTACCACAGCTTCTATCAATTTATTGTATTCCTTTTAAACTAATTGAAGAATGTCCACACAGTGGTTTGCACCAGTTCCACTAAATCAGTTTTAAGTTAGTGCAATTGTAGACAAGACCCTAGCCTGAAAGAGAGTGTGTGCAAGCTAGAATATAGCACTCTTTGTAATAATATTGATTGTGCAAAGACTAAAAAATTAATTTCACATAATTAATGAAGTGCAAAGTACTATACTTATGAAGAAAAAAACCCCAAGTGCACAACTACAAAATGGGAAGTAATTGGGTAGGCAGTCGTTCTCCTGAAAAGAGCCCAAGGGTTATATGGAATCACAAATTGCATGAGTCAGTCAATAACATGAAGCAGTTGCAAGGAAGGCTAACATTCTGGGGTGTATTAACAGGAGTGTTGTACATAAGACATGAGAGATAATCGTTCTACTCTACTTGATACTGCTGAGGCCTCAGACGCAGGACTGTGTGCAGTTCCAGAAGCCTCACTTTAAGAAAGATGTGGACAAATTGGAGAGAGCGTAGAGAAAAGCAACAAAAATGATGAAAGGTTTAGAAAACCTGACTTATGAGGAAAAGTTAAAAAAAATTGGGCATGTTGAGGCTTGAGAAGAGAAGACTGAGGGGGAACCTGATATCAGTCTTCAGATATGTTAAGGACTAAAGAGGATAGTGATCAATTGTTTTCCATGTCTGTTGCCGGCAGAACAAGAAGTAATGGGCTTAATCTGCAGCAAGGGAGATTTAGGTTAGATATTAGGAAAAACTATATGTAACTATAAAGATAGTTATGCTGGAACAGGCTTCCCAGGGAGGCTGTGGAATCCCTGCCATGGGAGACTTTTTAGAACAGGTTAGACATATCCATCAGGGATAGTCTAGATATACATGGTCCTGCCTCAGCACTGGGTGCTGGAACAGATGATGACTCAAGGTCACTTCCAGCCCTACATTTCTAAAATATGATAATATTCAGTTGTGTTCCACATACTGCTTGTTTTGAATCAAAGCAACGTATAAAATATTCACTATATTGGGGTAAGGTGTTAATTAAAATGCAACATATATGAAAGTGTCTTACCGGGTTTTATTCATCAAGTCTGCTCCACGTGCTTTGTAATAATCTAAATTTTGTTGGAATTGGTAAGTCACCGGTCTTGGATTTTTCTACAGAAAAGAGTGTTACAGAGTTTTAAGTTAGAAAATATTTAATAAAAATTAGGCATCAGTCTCTTAATATAAAAGTTAATAAGGATTATAGATTAAAAACTCATTTCTTTTTTCCCAGGACCATAATTGATAAAGGTAGGAACAATATATAAAAAAGGAAAGCCAGCTTTGAAATATTTTAGATCCCATTCTTCTCATCTGATGACTTTAAGACTGTTGTACAAATACCATAAATAAGAATATACTCATCCATGTAGAAAGGGGACTGAGCTACAATGTTCGAGTTTGGATCTGAACTTTCTGGGGAAGTTCTGTTCCAAGCTAGTTTTATCCCTTCTCTAGTTCTGACTATAGAAGTATATCACTAAAACATCTACCTATAAAGAGATCATATTAAATAAAACATTAATAGTAAGGACAAGCTATAATTTCTAATTTAAATTTAATGTACCAACTTGTTAGTGAACATTTTAGTTAAACAAAGATTGGTTTCATGTTAAAATTATGTTTTGCTGCTCAAATCAAATATATCCACTAGATGGCACACAGAACCTTTTTTCCCCCCAAAACCTCACAGTATTCAGAATCTAGGCCAGGAATCCCGTTGTACTATCCTGTACACAATTAATGCTGAAAACAGAGTTTGTCTGTTAGTCCCTATTTTCACCTCAGATAAACTAATGTATTAATATACTTTGTCTTAAGTGGCACTGAAATTACCTATTTTGGGACTTAATATTCTATGGAATACTGAAGAACCTATACCCACAGAATTATGTACCAAGGAGTCCACTTACACTAATTTAGCTCAAAGGGATAATGCTTGATGGTGTAAAGTGCTATATAAATACATATTATTAAAAATAAATTGAACAGGCATACAACTAAACAGAAGTACAGCATAGCCCTTAGGTATATCTCCATATATATATATATATATATATATATATATATATATGGAGATATACCTATCTCATAGAACTGGAAGGGACCCTGAAAGGTCATCAAAGCCCCCTACCTTCATTAGCAGGACCAAGTACTGATTTTGTCCCAGATCCCTACATGGCCCCCTCAAGGATTGAACTCTCAATGCTCAAACCACTGAGCTATCCCTCCCCCCTATGAGTACTCAACAAAGGGATAAATCAGTTAAAGTAATACATTTCCATTGCATCGGAAGTTAAAATGCAAGAGAAAAAAAAAGACATGATAAAATAGAATATCTATTAAAGTGATAATTTTTTTCTGTGCAATAATCTAAATATAGTGCATAAAACTGCACTATTTTATACAAATAAATACCTGTTGAAAGATTTCTGTTATAAACTTATTCTCTTTTAAAATTGTTTTTTCCCCTCTTGCTTTTATACATTAATTTGAAATATACTGACCTCACTCTTTTGGTCTTTATTGTAATACATACAATTTATTAATCAATGCAATGCAATGCGCTTTCTGAATTTTTTTTTTTTTTTAAACAAGGAAAAAGTACATTACATTTTCATCTTGATGTGCTGGGAGTACACAAGGGAATGGAAAACTCCCTTATATGCTTTCCCACCTCCACATGTGGGAAATTCATTTTCCTTGCCCACTGTTGTAATGGGCTGGGGAACCCATGCTCCATCACTCTCCAGGGAATTGATGGAAACTTCCTTTTTGACCAGCCTTCTCATGTTTTTAGGAGTAGGTGGGGTTTATATTTCAAGTAGCAGAATATTGTACAATGCATATGACAAAGGAAGAAGAGTTAAAGTTGAAGAGTCAATAGATATCAAAGGGCCAGAAGGATTGCTGGGGTCAAAGTTAAAGCTGGTGATGGAACACTTCAGTGAGAATTTCCTGACTTTTTCATGCTGTCAGATTTACCTTTGTATTAAATTACTTTTCCCCCTGTAGACGGCCGGACTCACCCGGCGGCGCCTCCTGCTGGTGACTTCCGGGAATTAGCTCGTTCCAGCTCCGGAGCGCCCTCTGCAAGCCGGTGATCCGCCTGTCCTCTGGACCCCGTGTCCCTCCCTGGACCCCGGTGCCCTTTTACCTTGGGTGCTGCCCCCTGGCAGTAACCCCTCAGTCTTAGGGTCTCCCCTCCCCGGGGAACCCCCACCCACTATTCCCACCTCACCTCAGTATAAAGCTACTGCCAGTCATCGTCTAGCCCCCACGCCCTGGGGCAGACTGCAGTATCAGCCTACTCATCACTGGCAAGGTTGGGTTTGGACCTGCTGCCTTTGCCTATCCCTGGGCTGCCCTCTGCAATCACCAGTACCTATCAGCCCAGTGCTAGGCCGCAGCCTAGGGCTTTCCAGGCTGGAGCTCCCCAGCTCCTCTGCCTTTCCCCAGACCAGCTCCACTCAGGTACCCTATTTCTACCTCCCTGCAGCCAGGCCCTTCTTCCTCTGAATGCAGAGAGAGACTGTGTCCTTGCTCCTGGCTCCCAGCCTTTATAGGGCCAGCTGGGCCTGATTGGGGTGTGGCCCAGCTGCAACTACTTCCCCAATCAGCCTAGCAGCTTTTCCCTTCCAACCGCCCTCCCTCAGGGCTGTCTTTAAACCCCTCAGGGCAGGAGTGGGTTAACCACCCCGCTACACCCCCCCATAGGAATACATTAAACATTTTAAAATATATACTGGTTGTAATGTTATAAAAACTTGAGGCTATTAGACAAGCACTAAAAAAAATTCCCATTTATTCTGTCACCTGCACTGTAATGGTCACCGTACATTTTTCTTCTCTTGTTATAACAACATTTGCATAACTCTATCCCATTCTATGGCTTGTAAGTCAGTCCTCGTCAACTGACAGCAATAACAATGAATCAGCTTTTGTTACTATTGCTCTGGTTTGGTAATTCAGTGCATTTCTATGATAATCAAATCTGAACGGACATGAGGAGGAGAACTGATGGTTCTAGGACTACTCTGCTAGTAATCAAATAGTGTAACTTTTCTCCTACAAATTTAATAGACTTCTATTTTTCTTTATGACCATTTGAACCAATGTACAAGAAGAGGAAGAGGATAAAATTACTGGCATATTTCCAGTTGATTCAGATTCAATTGAAAAATTCACTTTCACAAGGCTATCACACATGCCCAGTTTTGCAACTTGTTTCCAGAAATTGGACATACACTTTATTTTTGCTAAAACAAAAAAAGCTTTCTTTTCCAACTTCCAACAAATCAAGAAAGGATTATGCTACTTTCTTTTCTGGAAGAAAGTGAGGGACGAGATCATGTGGAGCAATTTCTTGAAATACATATTTATGCAGAAATGACAAGCAATTCAAGACATGAAATGCTGATCTACTATCTAAGCACTTAAAGCCATTAATAGGAATAATGATCTAACTTGAACACATGAATGAGGCTCAAGTATTGCTTTCAGTGGGGCCTGTTTAAATTCCCGTGAGGCTTACTGGTATCAAAGGGAGAGGCAGTTTAAAGTACTATTACATGGAAAGGGGAGAAAAAACAATCCTCAGAAAAAATGATGTTGAAAAAACAGCATTTAAAATGTAAGGCAATAAAAACCAAGAGGATTATGGTTGGAAATGGTTTTTAGCACTGCAAGATATCCTTTAAGAAAATCTCATTATTTTTAAAAACCTGACATACATGTTAACATGCAGATATCTGAAAACTACTATCCTAAACATAGTCAATATTTCTGAAAGCTGCATTTCAAACAGACAGTAACAGAAATTAAGATTTTGACACATAGCGTTTTATTGATAGCAACTTCACTATTTTTCATATATTTTTTTTAAAAATCCATTGCATAAGTTTCATAACGAGAAATACTCCTAGAAAAACGCAATTTTTTCTCTATCAATTTCAAACTAATTTCTCTCGTAGACATACCCAACTTTGTGTATCCCCTGTACTAGATGTGCTGTGTATTCAGGACACATAGAATAAGTTAATCTGATCTACTGACCATTCATAACCAAATTTTACTTTTTCCCCAATTAAGTATAGATATAGTTACATGTATAATTACTTGTTAGTAAAGTTTTCATACCTTTATTTCTCAACTAATGTGTACTTTGATCAATACTTTACATCTGCTACACCCCAACCTTAGTATTATGTGCTGATTGCCCTTGATAAAGAGTATAAAAAGGGCATTAAGAAGATTAACAAATTAACTCCTCCCCTGCCTTTCTATAGGTATGTGAAATGCAGAACTACCATGGATTTTTCTTCTAGGGATGTCACATTAGCCAGAAGAGTCTAGGAATCCATAGTCTGCCTATAGGGGAATGGTAAATACCATTCTTTTAACAACCTTCTGTGGGTTTTTCAATTACTTTTCAATTCTCTCCTTTATAACTGGATAGCCTATGTTAAGCAACCGAAAGCTTTAATTTTGAATTAACAGATTTTAAAAGGGGGAAATATTATGCAGAACTATAGTAACAAGCATGTGCAGTAGGGCTATACGTGTGAAGGATTCTGTGCTGCATCTCTTAGAAGCACAGCACAGAATTCGCAGCCCAGAGGGAGTAGATGACTATTGTGGCTTTGAGTCACCCTTGTGCCATCTTGATTCTAAGCCACTCTGAGGACTGCAACAGCCCTCTGCATAATTAGACAATCCTGAGGGGCTGTCTAAATTATAGCAACCTGCCTATGGGAAAGCAGTGCTGCCCAGAAACTCCACAGCATCATGGGCTGGGTCCTGCCCACCCCCAGGTACACTCCATGTATATATTAACATCAGGGCTTGCAAGGGAGTCCCCAAGGACAATCTGTGCTGTCTTTTTCAGTTCCAGACCAGATCCAGAGTTTTGAGAGATGCTTCACTTTCCTTTGGCCATTTTAGCTGTGGGAGCAGGGGTGAGAATCTCACCCAATCAGGCAGATGCTTAGATGGTGTGAATTACACCAGCGAAGGTTCTGCTCCATGTCTTTAAACTCTTTGTTATAACTTTAGATAGCATTTCGGGTAAAACTGAGTGAAACATTTGATCGCTTAGACCATCAGTGGTCACA